CCCATTCCAGGGATCCTTCATCCCCTCAAAATTCCCATTCCAGCAATGTGTGTTTCCCTCAAAATTCCCACTCCAGAAATGCCCATTTTCCCTCAAAATTCCCACTCCCCAAATGACATTCCAGCTCTCCTTTTCCCCTCCCAAATTCCCATCCCTCTCTCCTTTTCCCCTCCCAAATTCCCACTCCAGTCATGCCGGAATTCCCGCAGCTCCCATTTTTCCCCCCCGCCCCACTGAGACATTTTCCCTCTTTATCCCTTCTCCCTTCTCTCCCCAAATTCCCATCCCTTTCCCTAAAAATTCCCTCAAAAATTCCCCTGCAGTTCCCGGACCGGCCTCTGGCTGCTCCCTCAGACCGTTCCTTCCTTCCCTTCCTCCCAAATCCCGATTTTTATTGAATATTTTCCCTGGAAAATAGCGCTCAGCAGCGTGGGGGAAGGGCTCCGGTTCCCGATTTTCCTTCCCAAATTCCCTCTCGCTCTTTCCAAGGTGATTATCGGGAATTAAAACACACGGAATTAAAATACTTCACCCCGGCAATTCCAAAGGGGAATTCGGCTCCTGCTGGGGCTCTGTTCCAAGAGCACCTATGGAATGAGGTAAAAATAAAATTGGAGCTCCAGCCTTTGGTGCCAGGGATTTGGGAACAGCAATTCCTGCTCCAGATCCTTAAATCTCAAGTTTTCCTCACAAGTGGGGTGAGGAAAAAAAAAAAATCCCATCTTGAAATTAGGGAATAAATCAGGAATAGCCAAGAATTCCTTCCTTAAAAAAAAAACAAAAAAAAAAAAATTAAAAGGGAAAAAAAAGGGGGGATGGAAAAAAAAAAATTCCCATCTGAAACAGAGGAAATCCTAAATTCCTGATTTGGAGGATTTTCATTCCAGCCAATCCTGGGAAGCCACAGGTTGGGATAACTTGGGATAATTGGAATTCCTGGGATTTCTCTCTCCAGAGGGATTCCCAGAGCTCTGCCCTGACCAGATCCAGCTCAAGCTGTGCTTAAATCCTTCAGAAAATATTCCCTGAATATTCCAAGGAAAATCCTGGAAGGAATCTCTTCCTTTGCCACTCCGACCTGTTCCCTAAATCCATCCTCATTTATCCCAGGATTTCCCAGCCCCCTTACCCAGATGTCCAGGCACGGATTTAATTTTATCCCTAAAAAAAAATAAATTCAACCCCAATTCCACAATTCCCTGCCTCTTTTCCATCCAGGACACCCAAATTCCCATTCCCACCCCTCCTTTCTCCACCGGGATCCCGCTGAGCCTCTCTGTACATCAAAATCCAATTTTTTCTGCCTCCAATTCGCCCGTTTCCTTGGAATGTTTTGTCCCTACAATATTAATTCCCAAGGGATTTGGAGAAGACCAAGGAATTCCCGGCGGGAACAACCGCCCCAAAAGCCCGGGAATTCCCGGCGGGAACAACCGCCCCAAAAGCCCGGGAATTCCCGGCGGGAACAACCGCCCCAAAAGCCCGGGAATTCCCGGTAGGGAACGACCCCAAAGCCCGGGAATTCCCAGTAGGGAACGACCCCAAAACCAAGAATTCCCAGTTGGAATTCAAAGCGAGCCAGGCGCTCCTTTCCAAATCCCAGCTTTCCAATATTTTTCCTTCCAACTCCATAAAAAGAATATTCCAAGGAACAAAAGCCTTCCTCCTCCTCCTCCTCCACGCTTGAAATTCCATGAACTTTTCCCGATTTATGAACCTCATTTGGAGCTTTCCAGGAGCTCGGATCTTCCCCTCCTTCCCATTTTTTGTTTTAATTTTCCGCCCAGCTGTCGGCTGGACTTTTCCAAATGGTGCCAGATGTTGGATTCATCGGGAAAACAAAGCTTGGGAAGCAATCCGAGCTCCGAGGCTCCGATTAAAACGGGAGAATTGCCGGGAATTCCCGGTGGGAATTGCGAAGCTGCCGCGCTCCTGGCATTGCCAGGACGGGCTGGAAGCGAGCCCTGAGCCAGGAGGGAACGCGCTGGAATTTGTTCCTGGGGAAAAAGGAAAAATTGGAGGAGCTGGAATGTTGGGAAGGGATTTATTCCTGGAAAAAAAAAGGATTGGAGGAGTTGGAATGTCGGGAAGGGATTTATTCCTGGAAAAAAGGATTGGATAAAATGGAATACCGAGAAGGGATTTATTCCTGGAATAAAGGATTGGAGAAATTGGAATGCTGGGAATGGGTTTAGTTCTGGAGTAAAGAATTGGAAGAGTTGGAATTATGGGAAGGGGATTTATTCCCAGAGGAAAGGAAGATTTGGAGCAGTTGGAATACTGGGAAGGGATTTTATTCCTGGAATAAAGGATTGGAGGAGCTGGAATTTTGGGAAGGGATTTTATTCCTGGAATAAAATATTGGAAGACTTGGAATTTTGGGAAAGGGTTTAATTTCTGGAGGAAAAGCAGGTTTGGAGAAATTGGAATTCTGGGAAGGGATTTTATTCCAGTTGCTCCCACTTCAGTGGAACTCCGGGAGACTCCCATGGATCCCAACCTTTTTTTTTTTTTTTTTTTTCCAGGAAAAAGGACAAATCCACCAATCCCTGGTGCCGCTCCCGAGGCTCCAAATCAGGAATTCCATCCCTTGATCCCACGGAGCCAGAGGAGCTCCAGCCCCGCTCCGAGCGATCCCACATCCACAGATTGTCCCAGACACCCGGAATTCCCTCCTGGAGACCCTCAGCAATCCCAGGAATTTCAAATCCTCACTCCCAGGATGGAGGAAACGAGGAGCAAAGCCGAAATTTCCCGAATTTCTAACAAGGAATTCCCAGAAAATTCCCATCCTGATCCCGGACTCTGCTCCCATTCCAAGCTCAGGAAAACCAAGGGACACCCCGGAATTTCCACTCCCAAATCAATTTTCTGTGGGAATGCGCTGCCTTTTCCAAGCTTCCCAAACTTTTCCACATTTCTGGAGTTTCTGGAAAACTTCCCAGGCCAGGAATCGATTCCAGAGGCACAGAAATTTTGGGATTTGCTCTCTGGGATGAGATTCCCGCTGTGGAGTTTTCCCACCCCAAGAACAGCCCCACAAATCCATAAAAATTCTTTTTTTTTTTTTTTTTCCTGGGAATGTCTCCCAGTCCAACCCTTCCCAGCTGGACTCACCTCGGGATGGGAATTCCAGGTGGTACCTGAAAAACCAAATGGAAAAAGAGTCATAAAATCCCGAATTTTCCTCAAGGATTATTCCAGATTAAGGAATTAGGGATGGATGGGAGAATCCGGGATTCCAGAGAATGGGAAACAAAAAAACAAACAAACAAACAAACAAACAAAAAAACCAAAAACCCAAATGCAAAATGTTCCCAACAAAACCCAAAGCGAAAAAATCCTGATTTATTTCCCATATTTTTTTATCCTTAAATCCCAACATTTCCACGGGAAAACTCCAACTATTCAACATTTAAGCGGGAAAACATCAGCTCTGAGAGATGCCTGCATTCCCCTAATCCCAAAAAATCCAGCATTCCAAAAAAATCCGGGATATTTTTGCCTCCCGGGCAAAGAAGAGCAGCAAAAAATCCCTTTTTAAGGTTTTTTGGTTTTTTTTCCCGGGAATTTTTGCCTCGGGAGCTTTTCCCGGCCACGTTTTAGCGCCAACATTTCCTGAATGATTTTCTGTCACTCGCAATTCCCGCTCCATGAAAGCGCCGGGGCTTTGTTCCCGACCTCTGTCATTTTTAATTCCAGGAAATGGCCTAAAAAAAAAAATGGGAAAATTGAGTTCCCTTCCCTCCCGGAGCAGCTCCGGGAAAGCAGAGGAAAAAGGCTAAAAATATCTTGGATTTTCCTGCGTTTTTTCATTGTTTGGGATAAAAAGAAAATCGGGAAAAAAAAAAATCTGATTTCAGGTCAAGGATGTGGGTTTAATTCCATTTTAGTTCTTAAATTTAATTTGGTTTTAATTCCATTCATTGGATCATTTTTATTCCAGGAAGGAAAAGTTGGGATGAAATGGAATTGGGAATGGCGGGAGGAGAAGTTTTTAGGGAATGTGGAAGAGCCAGGAGTTCCTTCCTGCCTCTGCCAGCAGAAATCCTGGATAAATCCCACAAATCCCAGATTTTGGGAATGCTCGGATTCCCAGGAAGTTCCCCCATGGAATTTTGCTCTTTTCCCAATATTTCCCCTAAACCTGGTGTTTCCCTCAGCCATTCCTGCAGAAAACTTCATCCCAAATCCTATTTTCCCAATTTTCCAGGATGTTCTTGGGTTTTTTTTTTTTGGGCCTGCAACACCCAAAAAAATGCAAAAAATTTGAGCAAACTTGGGTTTAAAGGGATTTGAGCAGCTGGGAAAATCCCAAAATCCAAACGCTCTGAGCCGGATCCATAAAATCCAGGCAGCTTCCAATCAAATTCCTGTTTTTTCCTCATCAATTAAGAGCTGATATTCCCAAGGGATGGGATGGGATCTTTGGAGCCAGGATTTGAATGTGTGGGGAAATAAATATTAAAATAAATAATAATAATCGATGCTGGATGAGATTTCCAACAAGGGAAAAAAAAAAAAAGAAATTGGGAGCCAGGAAAATGGGATTGGGAAGTCTCCATTAGGGAAAAAAGGATTTAAATTAATTTCTCGGCTCGGTTGAGGATCTCAGGTTTCAGGTTAATGATGGATCCGGGAGGAAATGGATGGGAAAAGTGGGATAATTCCATCAGCCAGGCTGGGAAAGGCTGGAAAATTCCAGAAAGGAACGACCCAGAAAGCTCCAAACAGAATTAGTGGTGGGAGTCAGCTCAGGGATAAAAGGAGGTGAAAATGGGATTAA